GAATCGCGAGTGTGAAACAGCTGCCTGCCCCCAATGATAAAGGGTACAAACGCAGACACAGTGACACCGGCACTGTCCCCTGTGTGATCGACGTACAGACCGGCGGGCGAAAGGCGGGTGGCGCGTCGCGTGTGACTGGCATACGGACAGGCACGCATGCCCGCGTGCAGAAGGCGCAGAAGGCATTTTAATCTGACCCCTGGGAGCAATGATAATGGAGGTCCACACAGAGGCAGGCAAGACTTTTATTGAGTATACAGATACAGATTATTAAATACAACTTAGCAATCTTGTCGAAATACTGATCCTTCTAGTTATTTTACTAGTCACAGGATTCCTTTTTGATAAAGGAAATTCTAAGAAAGTCATGGAAGTTGACAAAAGTCCGTCGATTAACGTTTTGTATTTTTTGAGACTTTAATTAACGTATTGGGTATAGCCATTTAAATTATGATAAGCCCTTGTGGAGGCCTACTGAAATAAACCGAATAGTAGGCAATATACTCTTCTATACAGCAAAATTGCTTCATATCTGTCCACTTGCTGGCAAAAGTAAATTAATTTATGCAGTATCTATCAGGTGTGCAGGTATTTTCCAACAGGAACTTTAGGGTGTATGAATAACCGTCATGCGGACAAGCACTGCCATTCTTCTACATAAAACATAGCTGTCCTCACGATTCATAGTAGTACAAATATTACTAAACTTCGGTTCATTCGCAATTTCCCCGAGCTTTGCTCGCATCACTTTAGTGACATTAGCGTGAAAAATATGTTTTCCTGTGTGGATTTGTTCGAAATCTTTTACCGTTTCGGAGAGCTTTGATATGTATACTGTGAAAGAGAAAGTTAACGCGATCCCAGTGACAAAAACCTTATCCGCCCGTTGGTTTGTATTTTGTCTCGAACCCATTCTTCAGGGGTAGCACCAGGAATGGGCATTTTGCAGCAGCGAGTTGCAGTATTTAGCAGTCCATATACTATTGCATACCTATGAAAACGAACGGCTCCCTCATCATCGATGATGATTACTCTCTTGTACACTAATTGATCGATTGACCATAGGCGGGTCGTCTCCTGCTGAAATTTCATCACTTGTGCTGGTTATTGGCGTGATTACAGCTTGGTTATTTGACTCGCCGTCAAAGGTCTTAGGAGATTTGTTACCCTATACACTCTTCGAGTGGATAATTGCTTTGGTCAAACGGATTCCCAGCACCAAATATGAGTTGGGAAAGTCATTACACTGATTAGTAGACAAACGGTGGTTACAAGGTTTTTATGAACTTTAAAGAATTCGTGACCTCAGTGGAATTCAATCCCTTATACAACAGGGAAGGCTCTTTTAAAGCCAACTCTCTAATATTGAGCTACGATGACACGCCGAAGATTTGAATTTAACCACATTTTGGTTGATTTACCTGCCCAGCCTATTGCATGTGTGGAATCCAGCATTACGGATACAGTATGTTGACTGCCCAGGCAGGATTTCCTAAGCAATCTGCTAGAATCCACCAGGATAATTACTAATCATGAAGAGAGTTTGGTAGATTTGAATGATTCAACTGACTGCGAATTTTTCAAAATTGAGTCAACCTATATGTGTATGTTTGAAGGGTTACAGGCAAGAAATGCCTTGAGGACCCTATTAGTATATAGTAACCGAATCGATTGTACATTCAATATGAAGTTGAAGACAGTTAAGATAACACACATTTGAGTGTGTTGCCGCGGGACGTTGGGAAACAGTAGGAAAACAAGCTAGAAACAGAAACATGTTTACAAGGCTGGCAGTAAAAAATCTTATTGTAATAGTCCCCTTTTGTCAATCAAGACTTCTTTTAACATCCGTAATGGTTTCCGCAGAGGCCGTCTCGCTTAATAGGGAGCTCCAAGGTCGTGCCACTCGTTGGCTGAAGAAAAACATTCTGAGGTCCAATCAAGCGTGCTCGTTTGTGACCTTATGGGGATGGCCACGCAGGTGAGTTGTGTTGGCTAACTCGAAGAAGTCCCCCAGTCTCAGGGAGGCACCATTGACCCGGATTATCCGAAATTGCCAGAGCAGGGTAAACTGTAAGTGCCTGTAAGACAGGGGAAATAGGTCAAGTTTTATCAATCTCTCCCGGTATGATAAGTCCCTAAGACCGTCGACCATCTTCGTCGCCCTCCGTTGCACTTGTTCGAGAAGGCCCACATCTTTCTTCCACCATGGTGTCCAGGCTGGCATACCGTAGTCGAGGTGTGGTCTCACAAATGCGCCAAATATTTTTCTGAAGAGTTCAGATGGGAATATTTTGAACGCTCGTCTGGTCCAGTGCATCGTACCAGTTGCCTTCTGAACTGCCTTTTTACAGTGCTCTGATGGCGGCAAGTTCGCGGTTTTCCACACACCTAGATCTTTATGTGTTTCCACCTCTTTTAGTGCGACGTCATTTATGAAATAACTATGTTTCCGCAAAACTTTTCGCCCGGGGCTAATGTGAAGGACCAGGCACTTTGTTACATTAAACTTTAGAAGCCACGTGGACGACCGGATAAGCAGTTTGTCTGTAAGCTTGCGTCGTCGGCGCAGCTAACTTCTGCCCAGTGGGGCAGTCGTTTACGTAGATTAGGAAGATTATCGGGCCGCAAACCGAACCTTTTGGTACATCGCTTTCAATTTTTGTCCATTTCGAGGTTACACTCCCGACAACGACCCTCTGTCCTCTGAGAGACAAGAAACTGCCGATCCATTTAAACATGTTCCCTTGAAGTCCCGTGTCCCAAATCTTCTGTAAAAGAAGCCTGTGCCGTACACGAAGCATGAATTATTCAAATCTGCCAAACCCTCTTAATAAATTTGAAGACGCTTTGGATTCCGAAAACGTGAAAACTCGATGTAACTCTAAACAATAAATGTTAATATAAATGTCGGCTGAAATCGCAACCATATATTTAAGTGTATATTCAAAGAAGTTCCCTTTCGTCAATTTTGTTTAGAGACATTTCCGTAACTGAAATACAGCATATTAAGTTAGTCCTTAAGGTTCCAGCGAAGGAATTTAGGATGGGCCAATTTTTAAAGCTGGAAATTACAAGACACATTGTGCTCTTTTTATTAAGGCTTTTCACTTCATTTTATAATTTATGTTCTTTTCTAAGATTAAAAATGTACTAAAGGGTGGCCCAATGTGTACTAAGATTTTCAGAAGCTATTAATCTTCTCTTCGGTCCATTTTTAAAGCACATTAGTGTAAACAAAAAGGTATCCCACCAAAAGCTCAAAAAAGTAACGTGATTGGTTTGATGTCCATCATCGCGGTAAAATATACTATGCTTTGTTAGCGGTCACACATTTTCGGTTTTGTAAGACAAAATACAATCAGACAGCTTTATCCCTGCGTTTTGGACTAAAAACCTCCAGAGGCTGACAAGAAAACATTTTTTTTCAATCTGAATTCGTTTCTTGTTTCTGGAAAATAGTGTCATTCCTTACACCTGCTCCTACCCAAGTTTCACTAACTTAAAAGTGGATTTTCCGGTTCTGGAAGTAAATAAATAAAAAATTATAGTGTTTTGTTATAGCACAACGCATCAAAAAAACATGTGGTTCTGCCACATTGGATAGCGTAGGACATTTCTTGGGCATCCGGAAACCTCCGATTTCGCCTAAATCCTGCCCACTTTCCTTCCCTATAATAACTGAACTTTTCTTAACTCGAAGGCCTACTGAGCCTCCAATCCACTCATCAGATCAAAATAACAAGTTCAAACATATGCTAAAGTCCCAACGCGAATATCCATCAAGACATTGGATAAGTTGTGTCACCTATTGTGTAACTGAAAATGAACCTTGTATTCTAAAAACAATCGTTTTTGAAGTTTTTGAACCTTAAGATGCCATGCAGTTGAGATATCGTTCATGAAAAGTATGCTACCTATGGATAAGGCTTTCATCTCAGTTTACAGCTTGGCTGTTTAGAACAGGTCTCTGCTTTATGAATGACTCAAGCGCCAGAAAAAGACACGAACTGGCTAGCTTTTATTCTTTAAATGGATCCTTCTATGGCTGCGTTCTTACCAGCAAATAGTACCAACAGTAGTTGCGTTTATATTCAGTAGGCCCTGAATAATTTATTGCTTTATTTTTCCTTCTTGCTAGATGACCCGGTTGGTCGTCCGACGCTTCTCTGAGGCCGATACGGGCAAATACAAGTGCTCCAAGGGTTCAGACAGCGGAGTTCTTTCGGACGACGTTTACCTCATGATGCGGCCCCGCCTACTTGCTGATTTTCCTGCACTAGAGCACATAGAGGAGGATGAGTCCGCTGATAGCAGCGTGGTGACCGGACACCGGGTCAGTGTACCCCTAGAAGAGGACACGGAGGGTC